AGGGTATCCTAAGCTTATATAAATTTCTCATAGAATTATTACGCATAGAATACTAGTACGCGCACCGAAAGTGAAGCAAGTAAAACTAACGCGAAACCGCGTTAGTTGACTCAGCGACGCGTCAGTGCGCAACGTCACGCCTTACGGAGAAGAGCTCGCGAAAAATTGTAAAAATTACCGTTTGTGTTGTAAAATATTGTCACAACGGTGATGATAAACATAAAAGAAGTGATGGTATTACATTTCACATATAAGTTTATACATTTAATTCATTATAAGTACGTAAAACTAAAAAAATACTTACCTAAGCTCTCATAATACAAATGTTGCTAGTTGTGGGGAAAAAATCATAATTTTCTTTTAATAATATTAATTTTCTATTTGTGTTTAAACGTTTAATCGCAATGTTCTGTGTAAAACTCAAATGTTTATATATAGATACCCACTTCTCTAAGTGTTAACATTATATTAACAATGGGTGCCTATTTAAAACTAATACGGAGTGATCAGCTAATCGCGATTCGCCGACGCCGTTTTAACGCAACTATTTTATTTTAATTGCTTTTTTTATTGACTAAGGTTACGTTTTAGAGTATAGAATAAAACTTTTTTATTTACAACATCATGAGATTATTAATAAGAACGCCTTTTCTAACCAGATGTCACTTTACACCCAGACATTAACCAGATGTTACGTTAGACCCAAACGTAGCCTATTTTAACTGACTCCGAAAAAGAAAGGTTATGAATATGTATGTACACTGATTTCTAAGCTTGATCAATTCGTATATACATGCTGAAATTTTAGTGGTTGTTGTCCCGCAGCCAAATTATACTGTCTCGATAGTAGAGTCAATTTATTAAATTAAAAAATATTACAATTAAAAAGGGCAGATTTACAATAGTAATACCTCACAAGCTATTCGGGCATCCAAACTAGTTTATGTCGTATCACTACGCTTGAGAGTTCATGTTATGAACATTTATTAGTGGCTCTTCACTGTGTAGAAAGCGCGCGGTAGCACGTGCGATAGACGTAAAACAACATTACGTCCAGCGAATTTTTTTTTCAGACTTTATTATAGTAATTCGGTATAAGCTAGCCTGCACACCCGACCTTCTTGCGAGATATTGCTATTGGTTTGAGATCGTATTCGAGTTTTGTTTTTCTCGATTGTAAATATGCCATTTTATATCCTAATAATTCTATTTTAATAAATGTATTGTACTACTAAGGCAAAATCATTTTACTTCGGGAAAACAAGCATTAAAATTTCATCGTGTGTATTGGATCAATCTGTGTATATCCTTTCAAATAAAAAAATCTAAATCAGTTTAGAAATTGTAGAATTCTGAGGTAAAAGACATTAAAAATTCACCGAATTGATAACCTCCTCCCTTTTTGAAGTCGGTTAAAATTAAACATTACACGATGTATTCGAGCAAATTAATTGTGTTTAATAATATTCTTAAATTTTATTACGTCTGTATTTTTTACCATTAATATATGTATAATAAAGTTATATTAGTACCATCATTATCGTGTTTATTTTATTCCATTTTATATTCATACATTTTTGTACGTAATACGTAATCTTTATTATATCGATTTTTTAAAATTAATCAAAAAATAGTGATTTGCACAATTTGATTGCAAACGCCAGAAACTGGTATCACTGAATGGCGTGTATGTTTGCGTGTGACGAGCGTATGCACATTCGACTCGCGCCCACTAACATTATGACCTTGCATCATTTTAACGCTCGTGTTTTGTACTGGACTGCGCTTCTATGCGTAATAATTCTATGAAATTTCTATTATTTCTTTTAGGTATTGTAATAGGTGAGTACAATTTTGGGTGTTTCCTGGCGAATTTACAAGACTCGAGGATGTAGATAGACGTAAGTGTTAGTATTTTATATTTAATGAAGTGAGGTTTACATGATTCCATTTGGTCTAAATTCGTTAATATTCGTAGACACTTCTTTTGTAATACAAATAATTTGTTTACATCACAAGAGTTTCCCCACAATACGATGCCATAGGAGAGTACCGAATGAGCATGTGCATAGTAAGCCGCAAGGGCAGTCTTAAAATCTGTCACACGTTTGAGGTATTATAGAGCGTAAATAAAAGTGGATATTTTTTTACAATTTTTTGTATGTGCTGTTTCCAACTCAAATGCGTATCCAGGTCTATTCCTAACAAAGTAGCAGAGTTAACAGTTTCTAGTTTTGTGTTTTTATAGCTATAAGATCATAGAATTATAATAATTCTATGTATAAGATATTTGTAAAGCAGTTTTTTTGGTAGGGTTTAATTTGAATAATTTTAGTTTTATTAAGGTTAAGTTGTAGATTATGTAATTCTAGCCAGTTAGTAATTTTATCTAATGTATAGTTCAATTTTGTTGTTAAATCCGTGGAATTAGTGCAAGAGATTAAGATGGAGATGTCATCGGCAAAGAGCACGCATAGATCGTCCAGTATGTTTGGGAGATTATTTATGTAAACAAGAAACAAAATGCATCCCAAAACGCTACCTTGTGGGATAGAACCAGTAATGACAGTTGCACCAGATCTAACATGTGTAATTTTACCAGTCTCGAAGTCGGTATTTCCAATTTCTACATATTGAAAGCGGTTATCAAGATAGGATTTAAACCAATTGTGAGCTACTCCCCTAATTCCTGTTTGATATAGTTTATCCAATAGTGTTCTATAACAAACTCTGTCATGTCAAGAGAGGCCTACTGCGAATTTTTTATTGTCGATTTCGTCTAGAATGTTTTTTACGTATTTATAAATTGCTAAGGTGATAGAGTGGTCTTTTCTGAAGCCATTTTGGTTTTCATGTAAAATTTTAAATTTTTCATAAAATGAATAAAGACGTTTTGCCATGGCCGATTCAAATATTTTAGCCGACGTAGGTAATAGAGCTATGGGTTGATAATTATTTATGTCAGTAAGTTCACCCTTTTTATGCACGGGTTTAATTAGGGATATTTTGAGGGCATCTGGGAAGACACCTTCTAAAAAAGATTGATTTACTAATATTGTATACGGCATTGTTAACAAATCAGCACAGCGTTTTATCAAAGTAGGAGTAATTTCATCAATACCGAAGGATGATTTATTTTTGAGATTTTTTATTATGGTATTAATTTCATTAGTTTCTACTGGGCTCAAGAAGAGAGTATTTTCGATAGTTTTTGCTAAAGGTGTTCTATTTAACTTACTGTAATTTGAGTGTATATTTCCAATAGATGTAAAAAAAGTATTAAATGAGTTCGCTACTATTTTAGGATCACATAATAAACGTTTATCTGGTGTTTTGAGTTTCACATTTTTATTATTTAGTATAGTTGTAGCACGGAAGGGGCGGCTCGACCGGGGAAGGACCACGCTCTCACAGAATACCAGCGTAAAATAGCAGCATCACACTGCTGTGTTTCGTATGGTGAGTGTAGAGAACCGGAGACACTTTTTACTGGACAAGAGGCATTCCATCTTAGTCCTCACGGGTGACAACGCATCTGCATTTTAATTCGCAAACGAGGAACAATTCGCAAACGTAGGTGTCTATGGGCTACAGCAACCACTTACCATCAGGTGGACTGTGTGCTCGTTGGTTACCATATCCTATAAAAAAAAAACAACTCGACACAGAAGAATCGACTCGCTCGCAAACTTCTAACCTTTTGAACAAGCCGTTTTGGGAAATGACCTTACGCTGGTAGTAGTTAGCTAATGATCTCAATAGTGTCTCCCATCGGATTGGTTTTAAGATGAACAACCACAAGACAAAGATAATGCATGTGGACGGTACGTTCGTGTCACAATATGTAGTAGTCGATATTTATACATCGCCACTATACTGTCGTTAATATGAATTTAAAAAAAATATGAATTTTTTTATAAACCTAGTATATAAAAAATAATGTAAATCTGTAAAGATCTTTGAAAAATATAAAAGCTAATGAATTTTTTTAAATAAGCTATCACTGAATTATCATCCTATTAAGAAATACAAAAACGAGGACATGTTGCTAATTCGCAAATTATTGCTGTATTGTTTACGCTCGTAAGATGATAGCAAAAGTACTATCAAAAACCGCCGCCATAGGTTTTGTGAAGTACCGTGTAATATCTAGTGAAAATATTAACAATTAATAATTTAGTACTGTAGAAATAGTGTAACAGGAAAGTTGTAACAACGAGTAAGTAGCTTGAGCAGGCCAACAGGACTTTTTTCAGACGAACGAACCGCACTGAAGGCAATAAAATTATACCTCGGGGCGGTAAATACAGAATCGTTTGTCGTTTTCTACGGACGTCGACGCAGCGACTATATAGTGAGGGTAACTCCCATGCTATTTTGATTTCAAACATACGGTAAGAAAGACTATAATGGCTCAAATTCTTTGTCGTTGTTTAGATGAAGCTGTTCGATAGGTACTGTTGAAGATAGACCGTCACGAAAGTAGTCTGCACGCGTCCCGCACGCGTCGACTTGCCCCAGTATTGAATATGCCGCCTCTATAACGGGCGATAGAGATTAATATGCGGGTTGTTTGTCTGTTTGCTGCTAAGCTCCCTTTATTTAAAAACTATAGAGTCAATAGAGACTTATCGTGCGAAATGAAAGTTTAAATCGCAAATTGCGATTGGACCCGTGGCGCTTGTTCTGTGAATAGGGACGGATCATATCTACAATCAGATTTGTTGTTGACAAATGTTTTGTAGCATTTAAAAGTTATTGCTCAAAGACATCACATGTAGTAGTGAAATCGATCATCTTTAAATACTATTAGGTCCTTACATATGAAATTAGCGTTTTGTCATACTGACCACTTTGATCTGAAATATCTCCTCTTTGGTTAAGAATTCAAAATTCAAATTTATAAATTCGTTTAGCAGGTACATTTGAGTTTTGAAAACAGTCATTCTTTTGTTTTTTCCTCATTATTTTTTTTCTTTGGCGTCGCTTATTACCGTACAATGGAAAACATGAAATATCGGTATATTTACGAGTACGAGTTCTACCATGGCACCAGTGCTGCAGAAACAGCTCGAAGGATTAATGATGTGTACGGCGCTGGTGTCGCAAAAGAAAGCACGGTACGTTTTTGGTTTCAACGTTTTCGTTCTGGAAATTTCGACCTTCAGAACCAACCCCGTGGATGGTCGGAGACCAATGTGGAAAATGAAGAATTAAAGGCTATTGTGGAAGCGGATCCATCACAAACAACTTCAGAGATAGCTGCAGGCGTCGGGGTAAGTGATAAAACTGTATTAATCCACTTGAAGTAAATTGGGAAAGTAAAAAAAGGGTACCTCATGAATTGAGTGAATCGAACATGCAAACACGCGACAACTGATGTGTTGATACCTTGCTCAACCGACACAATAATGAAGGGATTTTAAATTGAATCATTACTTGTGATGAAAAGTAGATACTGTACGATAATCGGAAGCGCTCGTCGCAATGGCTGAACCCCGGAGACCCAGCCAAATCCTGCCCTAAACGTAAATTTACTCAGAAAAAGTTACTTGTGAGTGTTTGGTGGACTAGCGCCGGTATCGTTCACTACAGCTTTCTAAAATCTGGCCAATCGATTACGGCAGATATCTATTATCAGCAACTGCAAACCATGAAGGAAGAACTAGCTGCTAAACAACCGAGATTGGTCAATCGCTCTAAGCCACTGCTGCTTCACGACAACGCAAGACCACACACTGCACAACAATAAACCTAGCAAGCTAACAGCATAGCAAAGTGGCGAAGCAATCAGCTTTGTAGCGGTTTCTAACGGTTGTCGTTGAGCAATCAGTTTCAAAATAGGAGGTTCTGATGCCTGGGTGATCAGTAATCGATTGCTGAAAACAGAATTTGAAAATTCAAAACCGTTCTCGAGATAATCGTGGGACAGACGGACAGACGGACAGACATCGTGAAATCAATAAGTGACTTCGCAAGCTTCGCCACTTAATAAGCCAAGTTGTAAAAAAATATGGCGGCGTGAAGTATTCCACAATCTGATCTCATTATTTTGTATGTAGATTTTTACGTTTGTAAAAGCTTTTTGGCAAGCCTAAATAGAATATTTTTTTAGACTTTGTTGTTGACTTTGACATCGTCTATTGTTCGTGTAACACTGGAAGTGTCGTTACCATTACCATTATCGCCTATCAAAAGTCCACTGCTGAGCAAAAACCTCTCCGGTAGTAGGGAGGCTTTGCATTGTTATTGTTATTGTTCAAGTATTCAAGTACTTATTTGCTCAATAAGTATGCACACTATGGTAGGTCTTAATATTTCTAACAAATGGTACTTATTACTTAGTAAAGTCTTACATGCGTTGCAAAAGCAAAACTTTAAAAAGGTAAAAAAACTAATGAACATAATAACAACAAATAAGAATAAACAAAAATAACAAATTGTACATACATATTATAATTATTATTAAAATGAAATATTTTAACTAAATAATACAAACAACTTACAAATTCTTACTAGTAAAATATAATATAAAAAAAATGGTTTCGTCTATTGTACACTTGCTGATAGGTACCCGCTCGCTTCGCTGGGCGCACGATAATATTTTATTGCCGAATCTATTAATTTTTTTATGAGACTCGTAAAATTCGTTCTTAGTGAGCGTCTACATTGCGAAATGAGTAACTATACTAAATTTCAAGTCAATCGGCAATCGGATATTTAGTTTTATTTGTCATGATGAGTCAGTCAGTCAGTGCTATTTCACTTATACAAGGTTATTTTTAAGAGTAGCCAAATTTTTAACTTAAGTTCAAATATCCAAAAAATGATATACCGTTATTGCAGTTTTTGAAAATACGAGTAAATAAGGCTTCTACTTTTATTTGAAATCATCCCAAATTGAATGTGATTTATGGGCAAGTATGGATCCAGGATTAATTTCTGGGAGGGGCACATTGGCCATGGGTAAAGTGACACTCATAGTGTTGTACTATGCTGTTTTTAGGATCAATTTTTCGTCAATAAAATTCAAGAATAACTATAAAAAATACTTGTAATAAAGATAAAATAATAAGAAATTACATGTTTATTAGAGATTCTTTAGCGTTCATCTTCGTAGCAATCTCTTTCTTCTCTTTTTTTATGGTTCAGTCCACTTGGATAATTTTCTCTTATACTGCTGTGAAGATATGTCTTAAACCGGCGTAAGGTGGAAAAAATTGTTCGGCAGTGCTAGTTGTCACTGGAACGTGCACAATAATTGGCACAAAGTTATTATATTTGGCAGAGCTTTTGCTCTTTTATAGGCATCTCTCATATCTCTCATATGTTGATAAATTTGTAACATGTCCTTCAAAGCTAAAAAACAAGGTACATCCTCGTTATATACTTCAGTACCCTGCAAAACATCCTCTATATCTTCATCAATTAAGTTATGGGACGGCAACTTTTGCAGCTTTCCTATTCTTTGCAGCTGAGCTCTGGGAAACATAAAGGACGTTCCATGTAATAAATAATCAAGAATTCCTTATATACACTGAGGAGTTGGTAATATTCTTCGACAGACTGAGTCTAAATGTTCGATCTATTCGTTTGAGGGCCGGTTATTCTACGTACCGTGATTTCGGTTCCAATTTCGTTTAAATGTGTCCGTGCTAGTATAATTGCCTCTGCAAGCAGGTTGTAGTCATACCGACAAGCTGAATTGCAGAAAGTACATCAACTTTAATGGCATGTATCGAGATAAAGAGAGTGTGATTCCCAAAATATCAGCGAGGGTTATCAAGCTCACAAGAAATTATGACGACATTATAGCTTAGAGCAGCGAAACCACAGACAACACGCCTAATATAATAGTAATAGGTCTTTACCTATGAAATTGCTGTTCTGCAATAGAGGCCATTTCAAATCAAAATAATTTTTGTTTGGCTAAGAATTCAATTTTCAAATTATTTTTATTTTACTAACTTGGTTTCTTTTTCAAAATAAGTAATTTGTTTATTTATTAGCGTTACGTTAAAAATTTAGTACTGTCATGGCAGCAATGCAAAACGTGCCCCTCTTCCCCCCCACCCCCCCACCCCTCACCCCACAGATTCCGATTTTTTGCGATTTGCCTACCTATCGACCTTTAAAAATATGTGCGGGCGCAGTACAATCAGTTAAAATAATGCATTACCACGCATTTCAAATTTAAAAGATTAAAAGGACAGAATTTTTGAGATATTCTTTAATAAATTTTTCTTCACGATTTGCCTTAATTACTTATTCTGAACCTTGTCCGCAAATTTGGCCGGTTATTGCAAAATAACCCTGTATATATTGTATATAAAAATATTTAAATTGTTGCATGGCAGTGTTAGACATCTTTCACCTTTGCTGCTGTTCCCCGTCGTCGGTTACGTAGTAACATTATTTAATCTGTGTCGCTGCTCTCGGTACCTTACGCCTGACGTAAAGATATGGTTATTTATTTTGAAAATATACCGATATAATAGCTACACCACTATCCGTCGGAAGCAATGTAATCATTCTGGAAATTCCCGTAGACACTTCTTACGACACCCTCGGGACGAAATAGAGTGTTGAATTCTCTTTCAACGCACACGATTTTGTGAAGAATCATCATCGTTGAAGATCATCTCAGGGTAACTCCTAAACATCTGTTCCCTCCACAAAACACGGGCTTGAGTTAGATCTATGTGCAGCAATCAAATACTTGTTGACTCATTAATATGACTTAAATCTAATCGCTTGACTTTACTGCGCTTTCTAAATGTAGTTAGTTATTTACTTGTAAGCATTCATTTTATTCGTTGGCATTTTTCATACCATTTTAAAAATCAAAGAGATTTAAATGTATAGGTACTACTACCTACTTAAATGTCTTTGTCAAAAATAATTAAAGTGAAATAAATCATGGCTGCTAAAATTATAGAGAGAAATTTTAAAAAACAAAGGCGTCAAATTTCCAATTTGCATTGACAGTTGTTTTCAAAAACCTAAATTTTAAAAATGATGTAATATTGTGTTTATAATCTCATTAAACATTTGAAAAATTCAAAAAAAATGATAACACCATAAATGTTTTAAGTAAATATACAATCCGGTATCTCTTAAGATGGCAGGGTTTGTACCGTGATCTTACTTCTTTGTGTAGTCTTTTTGAAATGCGATATATGAAAAAGTGAATGTGAAAGATGCGTTCAATATTATTACAATTTGTAATAATTACATATTGTGTAAATTGTGTTGTATTATAAATGGTATAAAAATGCCATATCCCTAGTCGTGGTAGAGGTTATGAGATTCTTTAATACTGTTAAATGAAGTTGATTTACTACTACTCACAGAAAACCAGCGTAAAATAGCAGCATAACGCTGCTGTGTTTCGTATGGTGAGTGTAGAGAACCGGATACCCTTTTTACTAGCAAAGAGGCATTCTATCTTAGTCCTCACGGGTGACAACGCATCTGCATCTTGAGTCTTTATTGAGGATAGATGTAGATGTCTATGGGTCACAGTAACCACTTACCATCAGGTGGACTGTGTGCTCGTTTGTCACCCTATCCTATAAAAAAAAGTTGATTTAATCAACTATATTAGTTCCTAAAGGCACTTGTCCTTCTTGTGTTCTTCTTTCCTGTCACCAAGAGGGCTGGTATGATATGTATATCCAGTCAGCGAAGAAATGTAGCCAGTGTTCTTGACACTATACCGCGGAGAGTAAGGTTATATGACAAATTTAATTTTAATGTTTGTTTGTTCGCATTTTATGCGCTGCCATACCGTTCATGAGATTGCGCTAATAAAACTTGGTCAACTTATTGCGTGAAGGTTATAGGCATAGTAAAATTAACGTACAGTAGGTGGAGCGCGTATCGTACCGACACATTAATTTGAAATTCATATATCATTTAATTGCAATGAACGTATTATCATTCCTAATTAAACAATATGACCCTTAGATTATATAAAGACATTTTATAGAATTATTAGAACGTGGTAGAGCCATGCTGCAGCTATATTAGTAGTATAGTTGTAGCACGAATGGGTCGGCTCGACCGGGAAAGGACCACGCTCTCACAGAATACCAGCGTCAAATAGCAGCTTAACACTGCTGTGTTTCGTATGGTGAGTGTAGAGAACCGGAGACCCTTTTTACTGGAAAAGAGGAATTCCATCTTAGTCCTCACGGGTGACAACGCATCTGCATTTTGATTCTTTATTGAGGATAAATGTAGATGTCTATGGGTCACAGCAACCACTCACCATCAGGTGGACTGTGTGCTCGTTTGTCACCCTATCCTATAAAAAAAATATATAATCTAAGATTTGACCCTTCCAAATGCAAACGATATTTCCACAATATATTCTAAAATATTTTTTCTGCTAAAAATAAAACAATTATAAAGGAAAAATTCTATAGGTATTTTATTTAATTTAAATTGCAGTTGTTGCCCATGCCCAGCCGCTGTGACCAACTCAGGGAAGTCGAGCCTGCCACTTATCTGTCTGGTGCCTCGTGACGGAAAGTCCATCGAGCATGCCGTCCAAAAAAAACCCCGGTCGACATCAACCTTCGCTCCAGCCAAAGATTTCCCTCTCCTCGATGAGGAGTATATCAAGAAGAACTTTAAGCTTCCACCCAGAGCGCTGTACCTTGATCCTCACAGGTATATTATTTACATGTTTTATTTTCATGTAAACAATGTTGCTTCCGACGTAAATTCTTCTTTACTTTGAAAACAACTTTTAAACAACATATAAATGGCATCAGCAACAAATATCTCCCTATTCAACATTTGCTTTTTTTTTACAAAGCACTAGTTAAGCACGTTACCTGTCCACAACCCTACCAAAGCGGCAGGAATTTTACAAATAGAATATTTTCCTTATAATTTACAGCTTTGCCTTATAACGTGTTACAATATACTTTATTAGATTTTACCACTGATTTCATCCGCGTAGCACTTAAAAGAAAATTGCAGATTTATAAAAGAGGTACAAGGACAAGTAATTCAATTATCGAGAAACGACTTTAATGTAATGAAAAATACAGCGCTCGGCTGTGAGGATGGATCGGGACAATCTCTCCGTCCCGATGCACGCTTTTTATTTATGTCTGGTAACTATATTCAAACAACAGTTATTGGTAACAAGTGCTATTCGTTGCCTTGTACTAGTAACGAGCTGATATTGCTGTGTAATACAACTTTTTAATGTCAAAAACTAAATACGTACACCAGTTAATCGAACGAAGCCCTCCTGAAATGTTTTTGTGCACGCGTGTTTTGTCATTTATTTCAATTTCGTCGTTCGTTTCCGCAGTTTATATGTCATGATTTCATACTATAGTACAAAGTCCAAACAGTTATTATATGGCCTTCAGATCCGATTTAATATGGACCTTCACTCTTCGCTTACTGGATGTGTTTTTTTTTACAAAATAAGGGTGACAAACCAGCACACAGTCCACATGATGGTAAGTGGATGTTGTGGCCCATAGACATCTACATCTATCCTCGATTAAGAATCAAAATGCAAATACGTTGTCACCCCTGAGAACAAAGTACGAATGCCTCATTTACAGTTAAAAAGATCTTCAGTTCTCTAAATTCACCATACGAAACACATCAGCATTCAGTCTCTATTTACGTTGGTATTCTGTGAGAGCGTGGTCCTTCCTCAGTCGAGCCGACCCATACGTGCTACAACTATAATAAAATAGCTGCAGCATAGCTCTACCGCGTAAATGTTTTCTACGGTTATTAATTTTCTACCACAAAATGTTCGATAAAATCTAATTAGAGAAAACAAACCTATCGCGGATTGATCGCCTAATGAAATACATATTAATGTCATAGCAAAATTTTAAAAATGATGATTATTATAAACAATTTAAATAATATACTTCATTAATTGAGATAAAGTTAAGTATACAAAACTTTATCAGATATACATTTTCTTTAAAACATTTGGATTTTAAACTAAAATGGAGTAGTGAAATGGATTCGGTCCCAAGACTTAACTGTTAGGCTACTGTCATGTTGTGATTACATCTTTGAAAAAGGAATTATTTCTAAATCCTAACATTTTAGTCACATTTATCTTTACTTACTTCAATTCCATTCTCCATGGTGGTACTATTCCGGGGGCGTGGAGCAGAAGTGCGGTGGGTTTTTTCTACAAGATAGGCGACAATGCTCGTTTGAAGAACTACAGACCGATTTCCTTTCTGAGTCTACTTGCTATTTTCGAGAGTCATTACGAATCGTCTCGCACGCAGACTCGACGACTTCCAGATTCTCGAAAACTCCGATTTCCTAAAGGCTTCTAGTTATTATTCTATACAAATCAAACACATAGCCTTCGTTAAATTGTAATGAAGACCGTAGAGTACTATCTGTCATTTTGTCTTACGTATGTCGACTATGAGAAAGCCTTAATTCCGTCGAAATTTAGGGGGTGCTGCAGTCCCTTCAGCGGTGCCAAGTTGGCTGTAGGTATATCGAAGTGCTGAAATGTTTGTACAGTAGGGCTACGATAGCTATCCGAGTACAGACCTATCCAATTGCAGAGAGGTGTAAGACAGGGTTTCGTCATATCCCCGAAACTCTTCACTGCTGTATTGGAAGACGTAACTGGAAAGGATACGTTATTAACATCAACGGCGAGTACATCACTCACCTTCGATTTGCCGACGGAATAGTCCTTATGGCAGAATCGCTGGAGGACAAATATAATAAGCACTATGCTCAATGACCTCAATAGTGTCTTCCAATAACGTCCTTGTCACACCTATGCCGGTAGTTGTTGGGAGCACTACGCTCAAAGTTGTCGACGAGTATGTTTACCTGGGACAAATAGTCAGACTACATAAGTCCAACTTCGAACGAGTGGTCAATCGACGGATTCAACTCGGCTGGTATACCGCTTCTCGTCAGGTATACCTCAAAACTTGAAAATAAGATTATACAACTAGTGCGTGTTGACTGACAGTGGTCTTTTACTGCTGGCCGTGCGAGGAAACTGAAGGTGGCTCAGCGAGCTATCGAGAGGTCTATGCTCGGGGTTACTCTGCGTGACAGACTTAAAAATAAGGATATCCGCAGTAGAACCGGAGTAACCGACATAGTCAAACGGATTAGCTGAGCAAAGCTGAAGTGAACTCAAGTTATTTCTAACATTCCTTGGAGAAGGTCTATATTCAGCAGTTGACTTTTAAGCTGTAATGACGATGATGATTTTGATTCCCATGATCACGGATAAAAAATCCCTGAAATGTCGGAAATTAAAATAAATAAAAACAAGTTAAAGTATGATGCTGATCATTGTAATGTGTATTCGTGTAAATATAAGAAATCATGACATTTGTGTGATAATTTCACAGACGACCGCTCATCACTTTTCCCATGACACAAGAGATCTCCAACAACTTCAATATGGCGCGCAAGAACAAGATAAACCAGCAGATTCTTGATGGTTACTTGGACCCTAGTGAAGCAATAGCCTCACCCAGCGTTTTCGTATGCATTTTCTTATACTATTTCATTGAAAATCTTATACAAACACTAGCTCCATCCGTTGAGACTTGTATCTGCCTTACAATATCGCTTAAACTGAATCTGGGCACTATCACTGCCATATACAAGGTGATGGTCGGGTGGGCCGTACCCACACCAGAATTGTCTAGTTAACACCCCAGTATGTTAATTTACCAGCAAAATTATACGGTACATACTTAAATAATGTCACAGAAATACACTTTGCAGTAAAAAAAAATAATAAATAATATTTCTTTCATAGATTAAGGGGTGACAAACGAGCACACCGTCTACCTGGTGGTAAGTGAATGCGGTAGCCCATAGACATCTACATTTATATATTATATAATAAAATGTGAATGAAAAACGAGCATATATATTCACGTGATCCTGAGTGAAAATAGACACATCTATCCTTGATTAGGAAACAATGCGTTCTCAGTTGTCACCCATGAGGACTAAGGTAGAATACCTTGATACCATTAAAAAGATTATCCGGTTTTCTACATTCATTGAACGGAACACAGCAGCACTAATCTGCTATTTTACGCTGGTGTCCTGTGAGAGTGTGGTCACTTACCCCGTCCCTCGGTCGCGCCGGCACATTCATGTTGCAACTATAATATGACTGGCACTACCACTTTAGAACATTTTTCTTTTTACAATACACGTAGGAAAGATATTACAAAATATGCAGATATCCAGGAAATAAAAAGGCGGTCTTATTGCTACATACCAATCTGTTCCAGCAAACCCAGAAAAATAAATAAAAATAAGTAAAAGAATTACGGGTTTAAGTAGCGGCACGAAAGTCTAGAGGTGACCGTTATTGCTCATAAGACGCGCTGATTGGCTTGTTCCGCATAAGTCGCGCTGATTGGCTCGTGCGTATTGTTGGCTCTCCAGTCCCATTCGTGCAATTCAATTCGTGCCCGTCCCCTCCAGGTTTCGTTCAGCGCTAAACTTACGTGCCGCGACTTGTAGGGTGCACTAAAATCACAAAGGATACCAATTAATGAACTAAAAAGACAAAATCCTTTTAGGCCCTTCTTATGAACTAAAAAGGCAACGTCCTTCTTACTCAGATCTTTGGATCTTGATCATAGCTCTTATTATATTAGCGTGTCAAACGAGCTAACAATCCAATTCCTCTTCTTCGTCAACCTGTTAAAGCACACTGCACTCGGTTTGATGACGGCAGTACCAGACGACTTACACCTTTGTCTTTTGGAAGAGATTAATATACCGCCGTCTTTCGGAAGCTATAAGAGTTCACAGGCTTGGCAGCAGAACTGAGTAAGAGGATGTGCCGATCCAATCGGACTCCCTAGTAATATGATGGCAATGAAATGAGGGCCGCTGCAACCCGGGGGTGAAAATCTCGCAAAGTTTTATTGTTCGCAAACAAACTAAGTTTGATACCCGCCCGCATCAATGAAATTGTGAAGTGCTCTGGTTTACCACGAACCCGACGGTGAAGGGAACCTGCATTTCTCGAGAAATTAATTATTTCAAAGAAATCCGCTGAAACGCACTAGAGCAACGATTCTTTTACTATTATTTATTCAGTGGCAACGGTTCGAATTAACTGTTCCATAACCCTCATATATACAAGAGCTGGCCCCGGACAAAAATGAAAAAAAAAACTCTGCTAAGCATATATTTATTATAAACGGACGTAAGAAAAATCTATGATGCTAAAAATATCTTTCATTCAAAGCGTACTGAATTTAATTTCACTCGGAACAAACTATTCACTTCAATAAATTGCTCGCGCGTTTTATTGAATTTCCACGTTAAAAAATATTCCAAGTATTAATCCAGGGATATACTCGTATATCTGTGTCGAATTCCCGAAATTCGTTATTACTTACTACCCATATAAGCGTGATTAAATAATAAACATCCAAACATCCTCATAAAATTACATAGGTTTTTGTATATTATATTAGTGAGAACTTCATTTACAGCCATACGGGAAGACGAAAAAAGAAAGCGAAGAAGAAACAAAGGAAGATGAAGAACTTATTTATATTCTCCAATTACCAGACTGGGAGTTTAAGTGTCCGGTTCACCACCATACCGTTAAAACTCCTAGGTAATAAATAAAAATTGAAATATAATATTAAGTAATAACACACCTCTTCGCCTAGAGGCCTAGAGGTATCTCTCGCCTAAATGAAAGTCCGTAGTATCTGCCTATTCCTCTGGGTGACCGGCGTGAGCTTATGTTATGTTATAGTTATTAATATATTGCAATAATACGCTTATTATGTACCGTGTTGAGGTGGCGTAAGAGAATGAAAGAGCACATCTCGTGCCTTGGGTGTCAGTATTTCATAAAAATAAAATAAGATTTCTTTTAATAGGATAGGATAAGAAGTGACAAACGAGCACACAGTCCACCTGATTTTAAGTGGATGATATAGCCCATAGACTAAGACTAAGACTAAGATGGAATGTCTTTTTTCCAGTAACAAGGGCCTCCCCGTCTTCTACACTCGTCATAAGAAACACAGCAGTATTAAGATGCTATTTTACTTTGTCATTCTGTGAGAGGTGGTTCTCCCCCGGTCGAGCCTACCCATTTATCCTAGAACCATAATATAGCAACAGTTTGACACAAATGATTACTAGAAATTGGTCATTTAGGGACCTTATATTAAAAGGCAAATAACAAGCTCGTAGGAAGTTAAATTTGATAAAAGACGGATTATTTCAAAGATAAGGAAACTTAATAATATTGTTTTACAACAATGTTTCTGAACAAGAATTCGTGCAGTTATTCTATTCTAAAAATGTTATGTTAATGGAGTCGAAAATTACTAAAACACCTTGCTAGGTTTATGTAGGTATACATTTCAATTTGTTTGTCTTCCGTCAGTCAGTTTTTATTTTAATCTTTTCCCAATAGATTTGGTACCTAACACTTTGCGTAAGCTTATATATATCCCCTTTGATTATATACATATGTCCCACTGCTGGACACAGACTTCCTTTTATTTCTGAGAAGGTTTTAGGGCAAGGAAATGTTCGCCGCGCTGCCCCAATGCGGTTGGCGAATTTCACATGTTTTCGAAAATTTTTTGATTCAGTAAAGTCCCTTCGAAATGGATTCTTAGTCCCTAGCTCACTGGGTTTCTTTAAAAAAATACATTATGTGTAACTATCGTACTAAGAAGAAGAGATTTAATATAATATACTTAAGGAAAAAAAACATCAATTTAATATTTTGTGAAACAGTATGTACTCTCTTATTTCATTATAATTTAGATCGCATTGAAACAAGTGCTGCCATCTTGTGTTTAACTTTTAACTTGCCTACTTCCTTTACTAGGGACATCTATGAGAGTTAGTGCGATATTTTATAAAACATAAAGACAACTAAAACCTAGAGTTTAAAGGTGCTTTTTATTGGCGATAGTGGTTCTCACAGAGTACATTGTATATAGGGAAGTGGTTCTGGTACAAATTATTTGTTTAGCTACTTCTCCTCTTGTTTCTTTTTTTTATATTCCGTGAACTCAACTCTTGGTACATATTATTTTATAATTTGTGACTCAACCTCCACACTGTACTGTCCATACAAAAAAGTATTTACAAAAATTGGGAAGTTTGAGTTTAAACTCGATTTTAGAGTTTAAATTCACTGAATACCAGCCTAAGGTCTACAGTGCACGCTACCTATATAAGAACATTTTACAAAATACGGCCCTTATGTTTTTCTTTTAAAATCGTTAATATACCCTCATATATTAAGATCTTATTTCTTTTGAGTGAAGTGTTTAACAAACATAATATATAGTATACAATAATCCTAACCTGGAGCAATTACAAGAATTTGTACAAATACAAATACTTAAAGACGTCGTATCGGCGGTTTAGGCATCTTCAAGAAATGACCCTACTCCTTTTTAAAAGCCCGGCAACGCATCTGCAATTCCCCTGGTGTTGCAGTTGTTCATGGGCGGCGGTAGTCATGCTAGGAGTAAAGTATTCTATGGTAGTCATTTACCATCAGTTGAGCCGCATGCTCGTTTGCCCATTTTCTATAAAAAAAAATTGCATCCGCGGCTCGCAGTATCGCGGCCAAACATTTACTAGTGTAATAAGAAGCCGTCTACTAAGTATAAAGTAGTACTTTTTGGTAGCTAAATTACATAATTGCAGACTTTAGAAGACTTGGCAAAACCACGCGCATTGCATATTTTGTCTATTAAATTAACCGAAATTTCTCTATTTCAGGTTCATTTGGCACACTTGCAAAAAATCAAAAAAGGAATCAAACGGGGAGCTGAAACATGGAGGAGGCCCACTCAAAAAACCTAAACCGTGGTTACTAAGTAGACATACTGATTTCGATTTACTTTCGCAATGGTAAAAAACACACCATGTTTCTTTTCTGTCCAATCGCTATAAAATGTAACGTGTAATACCTAAGATGATATTACTGTAATAAATATTACTTATTTTCAAGTCTAATTTTTATTTCAAATTATTAAACTTCATAAAATAAAAATAAATATTTTATGTATCGACATATTACCAATTTTTCACCAATTTAACAGCATCCATAATATGCGTTGATGATTTACCTTATAAGTACATCACGCTTGACTGATTGGCGGTACTAGATACCTCGCACCTTTGAGACCCCATCCCTGATCTGGGTATTTTATGTCGGTCGTAGACAGCAGGGCCTGCACAGGCTAATTAGGCTAGAGCCTAGGGCACAAGATCCGAGGGGGCGCTCACCTTGCCTTTGCAAACACTACTGATTTCCATAATAAAGTTTGGAATAATATTCTCAATAAATTACAGAGTAATGATTTCTTATATTTACGCGAAGACTACACATTGAATGAAACTAATTTTTAGGGATATAATCGGGTTTAATTTAACTTTTTAATTCCCGACGTTTCGAGTGCTTTACAGCACCCGTGGTCACGGGGGAGGACTAAGGTGTTTGACATCCCGATGTCATAGTTAACCCGGCTACCTTCAGTTTTTTGAATATTGATTTTTGGTCCGATCTACGCAGAATGAGCTTACAGTATCTTGAAGTCTTACAGTGGTATGCTTGGGTTTGGATTTAATTTTATTAATTTTAGGCTCCCAAGCAGATGGCAGCACCCATCCATCTTCTCTATTGAAATAAGGATGTTTTTTAATTTCAATAGCCTCGCGAATCATCTTTGGTAGGAATCGGTGTTCTTTTGCGAGGATTTGTGGTTTATCAAATCTAATGTAATGGCGGAGATGATCTTTTTGACAAAACCTTGTGACAAGACCGAGAAAAAAATTTAATATGACAGGAACAGTGGAAATATTCCATTCCCGATACTTTTAGTGCAGTCCTCGTATGACATCGGGATGTCAAAAACCTCAGTCCCCCTCCCCCCATGACCACGGATGCTGTGAAGCACCTGAAACGTCGGGAATTAAAAAGTTAAATTAAACGTGATAAAATCCCTAAAAATTTTCATTCAAAATTACAGAGTAAGTGCCGCAAGCATTTACTTGTTACTTTTTTCTTTTTAAAAAGACGAAAGGCTCTAAATTATTCAAATAATTTGAATTATTTGGTGCCTTTCGGGTTTCATTGACGGACTGGTTGTGATTCAAAGATTTTATTTTGCGCAAGCTCTCTTTTCTACCTCTCTTACCAAGGCTGTCCAAGGCAACTTCTGTCAACCATCTCTTCCATCTCTGCACAGGAAGGACGACTCACTGTCTCATAGCGGCAAGGAGATAGCTGGTACTCCTACTTCCTAGGCGTTAACCCGAACTCATGGAGGACAGTTTTAGTGCACCCGATCCCTTAACTATAATAGGCGACCGCTCAGACCCGTCCAACTACAGGCCTATTGCCATCACCTCCTTGTTCTCCAAAATAATAGTATCCATTAAATACTGCCAATTCATGAGGTACCTTGAATACCATCAGTTGATTAGTGACCGTGGACCAATGTGGTTTCCGTCAGGCTCAGCTGGTGATATCTGGTTTACTTAGGTAGCTCATAGATGAGCGGAAGTAGTAAAGTCCAAGAGGGAAACGTTACTTTGGACATAGCGAAGGCCTTCGATTGGGAATAGCACAAAGCGCTTCTTTCGAAGCTTTTTTTTTATGGCCTTCCCAAGAAATTATGCATTCGGATCACCAGTTTTCTTGCCGATCAGAGCATCAATGTCATAGTAGAATGTAGTCCATGATCCGACTACAAATCTATTTCTGATGGTGTTCCATAAGGCTAAATGCTGTTATTATCTACCCTGTTTCTTCTGCATTTAATTGATATGTTGCATACATAATATTCATTGATAGGCGGATGACAGCACTGGAGATGGTTTTTACATCGGCCGTGACATAAGTTTATAGTACCGGACTAAACTTGTGTCTGAATTGGAGTCTTTATGAAACCAAAGTCTCGGATTTTGGACGACTTAATATAGTCCTGTTTAACCCTCAGAAGCCACAAGTTTGCGCATTTACCGCTAAAAACTAACCCCTATGTCGGTCCTCAGTTTCAGGGCACACCCCTATCTGCCTTAGCCAGCTTCGGAATCCTCGGCATCGATATATCGAATGCGTACAGTTCCGCAGTCTCATGGAAGAGAAGGCTATTTGGCCTTGTGGCGGCGCTGTCGTCGCGCCACAAGCGAAAACACATCGAAGCCTAAATCGCGCTATCAAAGTTTCGAAGTTAAAGCAGTATATATAACATAGCTCCGAGCTACCACTCGGAACGTTGGCCGCTCCCCGGGCAGAACACCTTGCCCCGCAGGAGATTTCCCCTTTTCCTTCCACCGGCTACAGTGGTGACCCCGACGTAATATGAACACGCAACCAATAACCTTCGGAAAATACAACTTCAAAAATCTTTGTCATCGTACTCGAGTACTCCACTCCCGAGCAGATATTGTCTGCAGTCTTCACATTCTGCAAGCCATCTAGCTTTATAAAGGTTCATCGCAGCACTGGAATAATAATGCTTCCTGTTCCTTTAAGCTACTCTCTGCGCTACACTGTTCGGCACAGCTCTGAGCCTTACTGCTCACCTGTGCTTCACGGCACTCTCGCAGATTACTTGCCTTCTTCTCGACTCACCACAGACTACAAGGCAATCCCTGGCACTTGCTCCGGTTAATTGTTCTCACCAGCATCACTTGCAAGTGCGTAGTATGGCATGCATTACACACCGACATGTCATTCGCACCGGCGTCACTTGCCCTTACGTACACAGCATGCATTCCCCACTGACATTAAAGACGCACCGGCAATCGGACTGCACTATCGACCTCCGGTCTGAGCAGGGGGGTGATGTGGCGGCGCTGTCATCGCGCCACAAGGGAAAACACATCGAAGCCTAAATCGCGCTATCAAAGTTTCGAAGTTAAAGCAGTATATATAGAATAGCTCAGAGCTACCACTCGGAGCGTTGGCCGCACTCTGGGCAGAACAGAACACCTTGCCCGGCGGGAGATCTCCCCTTTTCCTTCTACGAGCTACAGCCTCTAAAAGGCTTGGCGTGCTCAGCAGAACGGGAAAGTATTTTATACCAGCATACCGCTTGCCACTTTACAAAGCGGAAGTTCGGCCTCTCATGAAATACTGTTCTCATCTCTGGGCCGGGGCACCGCAATGCCAGCTCCTTCCACTTGACAGCAGCCAGCGTATACCGGCTCAAATCGTCTACACTCGCTTCGATCCACTGGCGTTGAGAAGAGATGTTGCATCCCTCTGCATTTTCTATAGCATTTCACATTGAACGTAGTCTGTCTAACTGTTTGACAGACTGTCTGAACAGATTTCATAAGACGATGAAATAGATTGACTGTATCCTGAGGAAAGACCATTTACCGTGAGAAAATGCCTAATTCTCACGGGAAAATTTTTGATTTAATATGGGCGAAACTATAGGGTGGAAAGCTAGTAAAATATAAAAATCTAGAAAATATATTCGTGAGCTGGGCAGAGGCAGAGCTGGCCTGGGGTGTGGGGGCGCATATTTAGCCTAGGGCTATCAGAATTCAAAATCAGGTACTGGTAGACAGAATGGTTATACTGCTATCCGGTTATATCGGAAGCCATGATTTATTTAGATTTCCTATAGTCACCTCTTACGACACCCACAGGACAAAATAGAATGATGGATTCTATTGTGCCTCCATAAGGCACAAAATGAAATATACTTACACTTCTGAAAGCGTTTGGACCGGCTTAGCTCCATCTTCGATGGTGGCCGTAGTAGCTCAGATGGTTAGCGCTTGCTGTAAGTTTCACGGTACACGAGCAATCCGGGTTCGATCCCCACCGGCACTAATGGAATTGTTAATTGCAATTTTAAGTGCTGATTTACCACGTGCTCGGCGGTTAAGGAAACCTGCATGTCTGGGGAATAAGAAAAAAATATTTCGAAGACGTGTGAAGTTAGCAAACACGCATTTAACTTTTTTTAACTTTTCGATGGTGCCGCTATTTAGACGGCATGTAGCAGAAGTGGGGTGATCATTTTTTTCAAGAAAGGTGCCAACGCTCCATTTCAAGAACATACGAGTACAAACCGATTTCCCTTCTGAGCCGCGTGCTGTTTTCGGGAGTCATTAACGATCAAATCACACTCAAACTTGAAGACCATAAACATAAGTTTTGATATAAATACTAAAAGCACTTTCGTCTTAAGGGTGTTACGACACCAATCGATCAACCGTCGATCGATGTCGATCGATTGGTGTGGTAGCTTAGTTGATCGACGGCTACTGGTCGATAAAACGTTCGATCGAAAATCATCGATCGACAACTAAGCGATGTGGTTTTGGGCTCCGTAATGTTTCGAAAGAGAAGCTCATACGACTGAACACAGGTAGCTAGCGCACGGGGCGTAGGCGGTGGCGGGTGACGATAGGGAGCAGTCAGTGGAGCGGGCGGGTTCTCGAATAATCAAGCAGTTTGACGTCGACTAATCCATTCTACCATCGATCGATCGGTGTGGTAGAAACTATCGATCGACATCGACTTATTCATTCTATGGTCGATCGATTGGTGTGGTAAAGTGACTGCGGACGGTAGCAGCCCATTCTACGCCACTACGACGACGACGATATCTTTCCGCACAGTAGGTAAGTATTCCACTACTCTCTCATTAAAGTCTATCAAGTCTACTGCTCAACATATGGCGCCCTCATAGACGCTTCATAGAGGAATGTTTGCCATAGTTGCCTCGCTTGGCAGCGGGCTGGTAACAGAAGTTTTTTTATTATTTTGAGATGTTATCAGGAAGACGTAGTTGCCCATCTTCTGTTTCATTTCGCTTTGTCGCCTCTTACGACACCCGCGAGCCACGAGATTATAATATATATATATATATATATATATATATATATATATCTATATATATATATATATAGGAATATGTAGGGTAGTGGTTATTATTACGCCGCTACTACACGTTGGTGTAATTAATATCTAGATGATATTATGTACTCTACATAAAAGAAATAAAATGAATTATTATTAAAAACTAGCTGGTACCCGGCGCGTTGCTGCCGCAAATGAAATAATTGTGGAAATATCGTTTTAAATTTTGAGGAGTTGTATTCTTTAGTTAGGAATGATAATACACTCATTGAAGTTGAACGATATAATCTTTATATATAAAAATTACGTATCACGTTGTTTGTCCGCGCTGAACTCCTAAACTACTGAACTGATTTCAATGTAATTTGCACATATAATGATTTCTTATATTTACGCGAACACTACACATTGAATAAAACTATTTTTATTCCCGACGTTTCGGGTGCTTTGTATGGGTGTTGCTGTAAATTAAATAGTTTTATTTAATTTGCACACTCTGTGCAGTTTGGTCCAACTTGAGAGATAGGATAGTTTTTATCCTGATAAGTGACGCTCAATATTATTTCAATACGAATTTAAGGATTTTTTATGTGAAGGGTCGTCGAAAAGGGCAGAACAACGTCTGCCTGGCTAGCTATTATAATATATACTTTCAATTAGTCAGTACGACACGCGCGCCACCCACTGTAAGCTAATTGTACTATGCCTATATATCTACGCGTAAGTTCTGGCAATAAGATGAACAAAAATTATTATTTATTAGGATTCCGTACCCAAAGGATAACCAACGAGACCCTATTACTAAGCCTCCGCTGTCCGCCCGTCCGTCCGTCCGTCTGTCTATCAGCGGGCTGTATCTATCTCATTATCCGTAATAGGTAGACAGTTAAAATTTTTACAGAACGTGTATTTCTGTTGCCGCTATCATTACAAATAATAAAAATAATTCAAAAACATGCGTCAGTGTCGTGGAACACTCAGTTGGAACGAAGTTGCTTTCGTATTGATAAACGTATTATATTATTGAATAAAAAATGCAAATAAATGAATTATTAGCGTCCATTAAAATAAAGCGTCATTTAAAATCAAATAATATATCTTTCATGGCAAGATAAGAAATAGTGCGAGGGAGATGCACATCATTCCATCTCGCTTCCTTATAGCCGCCAAGGCCAGCTACACTACGTCAGAAGAGAAAAAAATCTTACACTTTTTCTCGCCTAGCCCAAATTCGTACCGTCCGATAAAGAAACTTCGTTCCAAAAATAAATTAAAAACCAAAGGGCTCCCCTACTAGAAACGTGTTTTACGATGGTACGGAATCCTTCATGCGCAAGTCTCGCAGCTTTTATTATATATTAGATAATGTAAGAGTTTAAAAAAACTTAAACAACACGCATTTACCATGAACCCTGATGATCCTGATAAGTATTTTATTTATCAGGATTCAAGGATAAAGTTATAAAATTATTGTATGCTTTTTAAATCTTTTAAGAAAATTACATTAATAGATTCCATTATACAGGGCATAAAGGGCAGGCGGATAAAAATTGGCACTTATGTTTTAACATCGATTTCTCAAGATTTATTAGCACCAAATTCTTTGAGGAGAACCTGCAAAAGAGTATATAATCCAAAGAGTACGAATCGATAAGCCCCGCGTGCCCTTGTAATCCTAACAAACGTGCCGGAGGCCAAAGCCATCTTCCGGCAGGAAGGTGTGCGGCCTGTCGAGAGTGAAGGTCGAGCCCCCACATAAGCGCGGTCACCTAGCGCAGTGCAACCGCTGCCAACTCTATGGGCATGCAGCAGCCGTTAAGTGCCTAAGCCCCCACAGGTCGAAAGAGTGTTCTCGGCCTCAAAAACGCCGAACCCCCACCCGCGTACGTCCTGTATCAGCAGTCTGGCCACCCGGCTAACTACAGAGGCTGCCCTCGCGCTCCTCACTCACCTCCAAGCAAACTAGCTCCACCGCCGGTCAATGAAAGGTCATTCCCGGCTCTGCCATCTAAAATGCCCCGTCAGGGTCTTTCCCAGCACCTACCTGAAAGCCACGGTATGCAGGCTAGCCTTGAATGGCCATCAGTCCATCGTCATAGCATCTTGCTACATCCCTAGTGGAACCCTTCCCCGTCCCCCCTCTCCCGTCCTGACGGTACTATTGCCTTTGAGGACGAGGAAAAGGCTGAGTGCTTTGCAGACAGCATCGCCGCTCAATGCTCTCCTAGCTCACAACCCACCGACCCCTCCCACATCCAGAGAGTGGAGGATGAGGTCCGCCGCTGGAACTCACCCCCACAACCTCTGACCCTATCTCTGTGTCCAATGATGAGATCTCATCCATCATCAAAGGGCTGAAGCCCAAAAAGGCTCCGGGGGCGGATGGCATCTCCAACCAAGCCCTTAAACATTTTCCTGAACAGGTGTTAACCCTTTTAGCTATTATCTTCAACGCGTGCTTCAACCTTTGTTACTTTTCCATCCACGTGGAAAGAGACTACTGTCATTGGTATCCCCAAGCCAGGAAAGCCTCACAAGCTCTCCTCCAGTCATCGTTCCATCAGCCTCCTCAAGGCCATAGGCAAACCCTTTGAATGGGTCATCCTCACTCGCATGAGGCTCCATCTGTTTCCCACAGACGGCGACCATCTTGTCATCCCCCACTAATTTGGTTTCCGAGCGAAACATTCTTGTTCCCAACAAGTTCACCGTATTATGGAATATATCCTCAGCGGTATTTATTCTCGTCGTCATAAGACCATCGCGGTCTTTTTCGGCATAGCAAAAAGCGTTTGATAGAGTCTGGCACGAAGGCCTTATCCACAAACTCTACAAAATAGGCCTTCTTGATCGTCTTGATCGTCTCGTGGCCTCCTACCTGAAGGATCGTACCTTTCGTTTTAGACACGAAGGCACGCTCTCCTCTCAGCGTCCTATCAAAGCCGGTGTCTCTCAGGGCTCAGTGCTTGCCCCTCTGGTATATATCCTGCTCACCAACGACATTCCCATCCCGTCGAAAGGTGTTCAGCTCTCCCTCTTTGCAGACGACACTGCCCTCTACTGTAAAGGTATCTCACTACCTTTCATATGGGAGAAGATCCAAAAGTCAGTTAATGGATTAGGAGATTGGTTCCAAAAATGGCGTAACGATGTGAACCCAGAGAAGAGTTGCGCCGTTCACTTCGATCATAAACGACGCCGCCTCACTACCATTCCGCCAATCCGTATGCTAGGGACCCTTGTCCCCTGGTATATGACCCCCAAATACTTAGGTGTCACCCTTGACACGAGGCTCACCTTCGAGCCCCATGTCCAAAGAGTAACTCGCAACGCGCGCTTTTATCTGAGTAGATTCAACAGTATGCTGGGCCAACACAGTAAAATGTCCCTGCAAAACAAGCGAAGCCTTTATAAGGTCTGTATACGACCAGTTATGACTTACGCGGGCCCCTTATTTGCTCACGCTAATTCCAAAATTATTAACGAACTCCAAATAGTTCAAAACCACTTCTGTCGTCAGACTACGAACAATCCAGCAATTTCTAAAAACACTCTCTGAGAACTTCAAAGCCTCAGAGTCTTACTCAAATCATTTCATTCGTGATGCAGCTTCCTATGCAGCCCCACTCCCTTCTCGCTATCGAGTCCACGGGCCGAGAAAATCTCTCTCGGACCCCCCAAACAAGCTTTCGGCTGACCTGAATTGCCTCCTGGCGGCTCAGGCCGACTGTTTTCCCCGTCCTTAAGTTGCCTTAGGCTCAGAACTTTTCCCTATAGGAGGTCGCTTCCGATTCGGCAGAAAGGCCACACAAGCTAATGCCAGTCTCACAGGTGGTTTACATAGTAGGTAGGCACTTAGGTTTCGCAGTGAGTCCCACATAACTACGCAACCGGCTGTCGTGGTATGCTTAGAGTGTTTACCACCTCCCTTCCCCGCTTCCCGGAAGGTAGTCCTTTTCATTGCTTCTGGGCGCCAAAAAAAACGCTAAGCATAAAGCAACACGAGCGGCGTCGTACCGGAGTTGTATGTCAAAGCTAAGCATTCGCCGCTAAAAAAACTGGTTAGCTACTGAACACAGAACACTATTTATAGAAACGATTAAAGTAATTTGACATCTGTCATTTAAAAATTACCGAGTGAATATTTTTTCCAATACATAAAAAAAATATTATGTACATAAAAATAAGTAAGTAATTCAGATTTAAAATGTGTGACAATAATTTTTCAAGTAAGCTAGCAGACATGTAAGTATTCTTATCATTTATTTCGATATTAGAAAAATGTTTTATGTTTTACTAGCGGACCATCCCGGTTCTAGTGGGTAGGATACACTGACCAATTGTATGCATAGAGGTCAGTGGTAGGATCTATTAAAGGCTATTGGCGTCATTTAGATTTTTTAAAATAATCATCAATGACCATTTATTACACAAAAACAAAACTCAATTTGTCGGATGAAATACTAGGTTGATCAAAAAGTTTTTGGAAACGCAATGAAACTCTATGATAAGTGATATGTAAATTGTATTTATTTTTCTACGTAATCGCTTTTTCACCTAATACAACTTGAATAGCATTTTGCAAGTTGGTTAATTCCCTTGGAAAAAAGGCTTGATCCTGAGACTCGAAATAGGCCTCTACAGCACACATCACCTTATCGTCGCCGTTGAATTTTATACCACGCAAGTGCATTTTCAAGTGAGTAAAAGGGCGAAAATCACTCGGAGCTAGGTCCGAAAAAACACTTTTTGTAAAAAAAAATCAGACAAATATTTAATAACCGCACCAAGTTAGTTTCTCCATTTTGGAAAACAAATTATATATAGTTTTTAATTTAGTTTATTTCTGGCCTTGGCTATTAACGAATTTAAGATTCGAAAAAAAAAAATAGATCGTATTTCTATAGCTCATGTCCTATTCAAACTAAACTTAATTGATCCACTTAGTATAGCCTAATATAGTATATAACCCATATAGCATATAACCTATAAAGCATATAACCTGAGCTCGATAAAAGGCAGTTATTATGATATACACATACACTTAAATTTTATTTATATGTACGTAGAGATATAGATGAATATATTAGCATTTTCCTTATTTTAAAAATAAATAAAGAAAAATAATAGTAAAAGAAAATTAAAAATTATCTTAAAGAAGTTTATGAACAGCCGTTCAATCCTATTCTATTCACCAGCTTAAACTACTTCTAGCCCCCCTAACCCTTCGTTGTAAAGTAAAAGATGTAAATAGCAGACCAAAAAAAAATTGTCCACTGTAAGGCATCTGCCTTCTTTTATTTTGAGAGAATCATGAAACTAAGTTAAAGTCTACAACAAACAATTTCAGTGTTGTTGTTATCAGGAAAGGAAAAGATCGGGGAAATAGTTTCTTCGTATTTTGTTTGTATAAAATTGAAGAAACATCTCTTTGGTTGTGCTGGTTTTAATATCAATACTTATATAGGACATTAAGAAAAACAAAAAGTAAAAAAACACCTTGCCGCCATTTTCAATCGTTTTTCCGTCCGCTAAAATCAGTAAATTTAACGAAAAAATTCGATACATTCTGAAGTTTTATTATAAAAAAGAGAAAATTGCGCACTCAAGCCGTAAAAAAACTTGTGACGTTTATGAACCTAATGCAGTATCAGTAAGAGAAGCACAAACTTGGTTCAAGCATGAATATATGAATGATGAATGAACTCCCGATACCATCCATACCGTCTGGGTGATTGGCGGTCCACCACTGTGCGATTTAGAAGATGTTTTCTTCCTCGCACAACTTCCTTGTGGAATCGATTAGCATCAGCGATTTTTCCGGACCGAAAGGACACAGTAGGGACCTTCAAGAAAAGAGCCTACTCCTTTTTAAAAGGCAGGCAACGCATCTGCAAATCCGCTGGTTCCCTTGGTGTTGCAATTGTTCATGGGCGGCGGTAGTCACTTACCATCAGGTGAGCCGCATGCTCGTTGGCCCCCTCTCCTATAAAAAAAAGCGTTCTCACTCCGGGAATTTTGATGTCAAAGATGCAGCTCGCTCTGGGCACGCTCATAAGGATAATAATTTATTTAAAAAGTGGAACAAGATCGGCATATTAGTAATTACAACATAGCCGAGGAATTGAGGACTGACTACAAACCGGTTTTGACCTATTTGAAAAAGTCTGCCTATACAAAAAAGCTCGATATTTGGGTACCACACGAGCTCACTGAAAGAAACCTAATGAATCGTGTACTCATTTGCGATTCTCTATTAAAACGTAATGAAACCGAACCATTAATCCTTGGTGATGAAAAGTGGATCACTTCTACAACAAGAATGTGCGAAATAGATCATGGTCAAAGGGTAGTCAAGCTCCACAGACTGTAGCGAAACCTGGATTAACACGTAATAAGGTGATACCGTGTGTAGTGGGAAAGGAAGAACATCGTTTATGAGCTTTTACCACTGGGCAAAACCATCGATCCGAATCTCTACTGCCTACAACGAATGAGATCATGGAGACTCAAGCAAGAAATTGAGAAAAACCGCCTGGAATTGATCAACAGAAAAGGAGTGGTCTTTCATCATGATATCGCCAGACCACACACATCTTTGGCCACTCAGCAAATGTTGAGAGTGCTTGGTTACAGGTCCCGACCTTGCACCCTCAGATTTTTACCTATATCGGTCTCTTCAAAATTCTTTGGGTAGTGTAATGTTAACATCAAGAGAGGACTGTCAAAACTACTTGTCGCATTTTTTTTATCAAAATCCCAAGATTTCTGAAGCAACAGGATTGCGTCACTACCTACAAGATGGCAACAAGTTATCGAACAAAATGGCACATATATATTATAATAACTCTGAAAAAAAAATGTTTTGAATTTGTATATAAAATACGAATAAACTTTTTTCCCGACCTTTATATTAATTTATTTGAGTTAATAAGGTAAGTTTTAAGTTTTTAAATCAGCGACATTGAATGCGAGTCGCAGAAAATAATGGAGAAAGCTTCGCATGAGACTGTAGAAATAAAAATGAAAGACTAGTATAAAAAGGAGTCAAAGAAACCCTTAATCATAAAAATCGACGTCAATTTTTTTGTCCTCTGTGGCTCATAGATATCTACATTTATCCTCGATTAAGAATCAAAATGCAGATACGTTGTCACCCGCGAGGACTAAGATGGATAGCCTCTTTTTCAGTAAAAAGGGTCTCCGGTTCTCTATACTCACGCTGGTATTCTGTGAGAGCGTGGTCCTACCCCGGTCGAACCAACCCATTCGTGCTACAACCATATTACGGCTGCAGCTGGTTCTACCACCGATTTAGAAATAGTAATTAAAGTAGTAATTTAAGAAAATGCTTAACGTTGCTCCTCTTTTCATTATATGACAAAACAAAGAGAGATATGTATAGACATATATATATATATATATATATATATATATATATATATATATATATATATATATATATAAATATATATATATATATATATAATGTTTATAATAGTAAGGCCATAGCAAATTAATTTCAGTTTACTTGCTGACTTTGAACTTAGCATGAGTTACAGCTCTCCATCGCCTGTATACATATTATATCCCGGGATACATTTTTTTTAAATAAATGGACAGTATTTAATACACTTTTATTTCATTCGCAGACCATTCGCTAAGCCTGGTTTCGACTCACTTACAATGTCAGCACCACTTTTGGTTCAAATGAATCCTGAAGGCAGATGGGAGAACAAAAAGCCAGAGAGTTTAGATGAAGAACGCCTTCAAGCCGTTGTGCAGTACTTAGTTGCTAGCAAAGCGCTTTCAGCTGCTGAAAGCTATTGCTGCCAGTGTGCTGCAGAAAGTGTGGTAAAAAATTAATCGCCCCTTTAAAAATAAAATAAATCTCTAAATAACTTCTCTAAAGATTGACTGCGTCATTCTACTGGTCGTAAATGCGACTTGTGTGGTTCCGGATTGTGTTTTCCAGTGCAGCAATTTTCAGTAGCAGACCAGAGTCAGAAAGTTGTCGTTGTTAATCCCCGTGCCTAGAAAACACGTGAAGCTGTCGATCCTGTGTCTAATCTATCTCCGATCGTGGCGGATTCTAGTCCCTTTACTATACAGGGTTGTTTTGTAATAATCGGCCAAATTTGCAAAGAAGGTTCAAAATAAGTATTATAGCCAAATGGTGAAGAAAAATTAAATTTGAAATGCGTGGTAAAGCATTATTTTAACTGATTGTACTGAGCGCGCGTACGCGAAGTAGTTGCCCATAAATCACATTCAATTTGGGATAATGTCAAATAAAAGTGTAAGCTTTATTTATTTCGTATTTTCAAAAACTTAAAGATTAAAATTTGGCTACTCTTCGAAAAATAACCCTGTACGGTTGAGGGAATAGAGTGCATCAGTACTGGCGCAAACACTCATACACTATAATCATATTCTACCCAATGGCTAGTCTCGGTTGAGACTTGTCGCCAGGACCGAAATAGAAATAATATTATTAATTATAGGTTCTCTTTATGAAGCAAAGACCATAATATATTTACTACGTTTATCTTCAAGTTATTTTCTATAAATACTTATCTAATTATGTTGTGTAGTTATAACTAAGTATTCTGCAATCAGCTAACGATTACTTTTTATGCCTAATTGTTTATCACTACTTCATGTATATTTTTGACGTACAACATATCTGTACAATAATAACACTCACCATAACTTTTTTACAGAAAGAGGGTGAAAACCCCAAATACGTGCCTGTGATAATGATGCCAATCTGTCCAGCTGATCAATGCCCTTTCGATATGGAATGCGAGTTACAGAAAATAAAGGAAACCGAAACAAAACCAACTAAACTAGCGCGGAAGGCTTTACAATCAAAAGAGACTGAGAAAGACCATGATAAAAAGAAGACAAAGAAACGTGGATTTGTTTTGCAACGACTAACAGATTTCGATTTATTGTCTCAATGGTAATGCTTATATTGTGCAAACAATCAAGTGTATTTGTGACGTAAAGAAGTTATTGCCTTTTTGTAATAAATATTTAAAATAATTTTGTTCTTTATTTACTATATCATACTGTAGACTCACAGATTACCCCCTAAGGGGGTAATCTATGTGTAGACTTAAGGCTGAGAATATGGCGCAATATTGCATACCTTTTTTTAGTTGCGCCCGCAGCGGTAGAACATTGCTAGGTATCTTAAAACCTTAAAACTGACGAGACTGCGAGTTTGTATGGATTTGTGCTTGCCGCAGATACGGAAACGGACGCAGTCACTAGACAGGCGCACGGTGGATTGGTAAAAAATGATATTTTCAGGCTGCTATGCGCTCTCACCTATCGCGGTTTATGACGACAGACCATGCGGACTACAGCGTCCTACGCGATTCTACTACTTGCTCGCCGGTCAAAGCATAGACTTAGCTAGTGTGTTTGTTTACTGGGAACCATGCCTAAAATTCACGAAATGAATTGCTAAGGATTTAGTAGTAGGTCTAAAACAATTGTAGGACTAATCCTGGATTTTGTAAAATAACATATAAAAGTCACAAACCTTAAAGTGTGATGCCTCAGTTCAGGCAGTCTATCAGCCAGATCTCGGAAAGTTTCTTGAAAATTAAGTAAATGTGATGACAGATATTTAGTAAAGAATTTGTTAAGCTTATTTTACTTAATAACAAGATACAGTGTTAAAAGATAAAAGAAACAAATGTCTAAACTGTGGTCCCTCAGTCCGCACATATTTTGTACATATCAGTGATTTTTTTTAAATAAATTATTTAAATCGTACCATTTCCATTTAAGGTTTTAGTAGAAGTCTTAGGCCCGGACTCCACCAAAGCGGAGATGAGACGAGAGGAGAGAAGATGTGATGTGCAACCAATAGAATTTTGTTATTCACACATTTCGTCTCCCTCAGCTTCAGTGGATACCACTCAACGGTGATTCAGTGTAGTATCATATTTGTATTGCGCGATCGAAACGGAGATATGAGCTGTGCCTCGCCGAGATTGAGCTGGGTGGCGGTACAAAGCAAAGATGTGAGCTGCTCCTCACAAGCTCTCTCTTCTTTTCCATAGAGCTATCAATACTCTAGTTCTTCTAAGGAAGAACTAGAGTCTGAACGTTCAGTAGAAGATACAGGTTTGTAATAGTGATTTGACTGAGACGTTTGCCTTTAATGTCAGATCGCGCTAAACTGTGCGTTCATCTCAAATTCAACGCTCGCCGCACACAGCTCAGTAACACTCTAGCTAGCACATCTCCACTCCCGTCTAGCCAGTACGCATCTCCGCACAGCTTCGGTGGATACACCCTAGCTGAAAAACATCTCTTCTCATCTCCGCTTCCGACATCTCCGCTTTGGTGGAGTCCGGGTCTTTAAGAATTTTGTAAAAATACGAGTAGGTCCGGGTTTTTAAGAATTTTGTAAAAATAGGAATAAGGCTATATATTGCCGCAATTTTAAGATAGCTACCTACTGTTTAAACTGGTCCTATGGAAAAAAATAAGTTTTGTGCTGTGATTAAATTCCTCACTAAACAAGGAAAAACGCCACATATCATTATGGAAAAGATGTCATCTGTTTACGGGGACTCTTGTCTTGTAAAAACGATAATTTATAAGTGGCATAGCTTTTCCAAGCAAGGTAGATACTCAATTGAGGCAACTTCCTCAGACATTGTCGAAAAAGTTAAAAAATAAACACTTGTTCTTGAAGATGCTCGTGTGAAGAAAAAACAGATCGTAGAAATTCCTGGAGGAACATCTGACCGTTTTCAACATTTTCCATGACCATCTTGGTATGTTTAAGGTCAGTGACAGATGGGTGCCAAGAATGCTCACTCCGCTTCAGAAACCGATCCAGTGTTCGCGCGAGTTTTTGGACGTGTGTAGTGAAAACAGGGAGGAAATTATTAACCGAATTGTGACTGGGGGATGAAACCTGGGTTCACTATGAACCGAAGTCAAAGCCTCAAAGAATCCATGTAGTGGCCAAAAAGTTCAAGTCTCACGATAGGCTGGTAAAACTTCAGTTTTTTGGGATTCAGAGAGGAGTTGATTTTATATAAAGATACAGGTGTCCATATCACGGGACACTATTACACTACGCTACTGGAAAAATTAAAAGATGCGATTAAAGAAAAAAGAAGAGGAAAGTGGTTTTAAGATGTGCTCCTCTCCTCCTTTTGCACGACAACGCATCCGTTCACAAGTCACGTTACGATGGCTTCCTTACACAAGTGCGGCTTCGAAAACCACCCACCCTATAGTCTAGATTAGGCTCCTTCGAATTATTGTTGTTACCAGGTATGAAAAAAGAGCTTCGGGGAAAGAAATTTACAAATGACAAAGAAGTGAAGTCGGCAATTAATGTCTATTTTGAGAGCCTTGACAAAACTTTTTTTCGAAGGTATAAATAAGTTATTTGAACGGTCTGAGAAGTGTATTTGGGTTAATGGAGAATATATCAAAAAAGAAAGAGAATTTTATGTTTAATTTCACACCCTTTTCCTTTCATTCCGAGAATTTTTAACTTTCCGTCGTATATCGTGTGCTTCTATTTTTCTTTATCAAACCTGGAAATATCGATGTAGATGATAGCATCAAACCTATTTTACTTGTTTTTGTATTCAACTTTTAAATGATAGTCCACAAGGATGATAACGCATCCGCATTTGAATTCTTAATTTAGGATAGATGCAGATGTCTATGGACCATAGCATCCACTTATCCACGTACCATCAGTTGGACTGTGCTCGCTTGTCTCCCTAATCCTATTTAAAAAAAAACCTGATCACTACTCAGACGAACGCCCGCACGTGCATTGATTTAAAGATACAGTGCTTGGCCAGACTGCAAGCACAGCCGCAGGGCGAGTGCGGGGCGGCGTACTCAAACATAGTCTTCATTTGAGTGTCCATAGTGGCCACGAGGGTGCAGGGCAACTCACGCCATAGTTCGTTCATACAATTGCCCGCAGTGAAACAAAAAAAAAAGCAAACCGCACGAGGAGCGGGAATCTCAAACCACTTGAAGTACTGAAATAAATGTAAATCTTTTTTTTTAGACAATTTTCTATTTTTTCGAATATATAGTAAAACATATCCATTGACATTCTTGTATATTCAAAGAACTTTTGAGGTTGCGTTCGCAATTTTACATAGTGTGTGAAATTTTCCTTCATTTTCTCTAGTTAAATTGATTTCATTATTTTCATTTTTCAATTTTAGAATTTGCCATTTAAAGTAAGGACTTTCCGGCAAAAACAAGTCTTCTTTATCTATTTTATATTTTGACAACCACGACTCGACAACACTCAGAACTTTCAGTATATACACTCTTTATCTATGCTCAGAACGAAGCCGACTGCGGACAGTCATGTCGCGCCCATGCCCTCACCCGCGTCGCGCCACAAGCACATAGATTTGTGCACATTTGGATAAAATTACTAAAAGAGCCATCGGCCATACGGAGTTCACTGAACATTTTTCTTTTCCATATTTCTAACCAAACGTTTTTTAAGAAAATCACAGCTCTAACGACACTTGTTCTTTTGACGACCTGTTTCCGATGATCACTTGATGTATGGACAGACAACGTTGCGCAACAAAAGTTCCGCGTCGTCTCTCATAACATGTTGCTTGTCAATTGCCTATAATGAATACACGACTTTACCACACTAAATAAAACAACCACAGATGAAAAAATATTTTTATTACAACGCAAAGGTATTTAGAAAATAGGATTACATAGCTTAAAATGACAATTTGTAGCGGAAACGTTACACTAAACCATACTTAATTACATTCAAAATCACATCTAGAAAACTTTACAAGATATTCGCCGACGACGAGCCCCCACTCTCACTTATTTATTTATTGAATACAAAAGTGACATCAACACATTTTGACGTACCATCACCTACAGATGGCAAGGTAATCGAAAATATTACAATCTGAATTCGAGTCAATCGTACGGGACCCGAACATCTGCGGATTATATATGGGAACTTAAAATTACATATTATATTACCTTGAAACAATGCTACAGTAATTGTTGCTTTTAATAACACTCAAATCGTAACTTGCGAGCATCGTACGCGAAATCGTAATTTAATAGTAATACGACTTACCGACAGATTGTTTCGCATCAATAGTGACACGGCGCCAAAACTTTGTAACCGGTCGTTTGTTGACACTTTATGCAGCTGTGCACAGCAAAGGACCCGTTAAAAAGGTTTTCGAGCGCATGCCGGTAATACCATATAAATGTGCGTCACGTAAACTACTCGATTAATATTGACTTGTCGCTTAACCGCCGATACTATCCTAAAATATACAGACTTAATTACAGTAAAGAACACTCGACTTAAACGAGCGTATCGTTTTTAATCTGTACTTCTTTTCTTCTCGCCAAAACTGACAATCTGTCAAAGTGATGTGTGCATCTTTTGAATGACTCTATCAGTAACTACGGTCGTGAACGTCGAGTTTTCGTTATAAATCACACTTATTATTATTTCTTTCATAATTGATACGATCGAATCAAGTAAAATAGGTGTTATTACACGAAGACGTCTAGAAGGTCCATTTTTTGTATACATTGATTGATTAAAATACATTCGAAATTAAGACAATGGGATAAATCATAGTAAGTACACATCAACACGGACTATTTTAACAATTTTATACAGATAGAAGTTACAATATAACGTAAAAATAACTTCTTTCAAACTTTAATTACAACTATTATACAAAACATTTGAATAATTTTTCATGAAATATGAATTAAATAGTTAAACATTACGACATTCATTTAAATATTAAATTTAATAAGTATTTATACTTATTATATAGTGTACCTCTACACAACTGAGCTTGTAATTAATATTGTCCATACATAGTGGGTTACACTTGAAAGTGAAAACCACAGAGTATTTCAGGCATATGTAATATATAATTTAAAA